ACGGTGAGCAGCACGATCGGACGATGGATGTACTTCATCGACCAACTTGACTTCACACCGAAACATCTCCCCGGCCTCTCCAATCGCGCAGCAGATGCACTCTCGCTATGACACATCATGCCTTCGCATTCGATGAGGAACTTCAACGACACTTCATCCGGGGCTATGAGTCTGATCCGGATTTCGCCATGTTGTATGCGCAGCTATCTTCAGATCACCCGCCGGCCAGCCACTATCGCATTGCCGACGGGTACTTGCTCCTCCACTCGAGAGGCAAGGACTTACTATGTGTCCCACGAGACCGTCGTCTTCGGACTCGCCTTCTCGGCGAGTATCATGATTCGCGACTCGCCGGCCATTTCGGAGTCAACCCCACCATTGCACGACTTCGACAACGATTCGGATGGCCCGATCTCGTTACCGATGTCACTCGATATTGCGACTCTTGCGAAGTTTGCCGACGAAGCAAGCCCCGCAATCGCAACCCCTACAGCGAGTTGCGCCCGATGCCTATCCCACGGGAACCCGGCCTCTCCATTTCCATGGATGTCACCGGACCATTTCCCCGCAATCGCCTCGGGCACGACGACATCCTCACGGTCGTGGACCGTTTGAGTAAGTACGCGCGTTTTCTCCCTTGCAAGTACTACTCCACGGCTCCCAAGCTGGCACGCCTCTTGCACACCGGCTGGATTTGCGGCCACGGTGTACCGGAAGACATAGTCAGCGACCGCGACACTCGCTTCATGTCGGCATTTTGGACTGCTCTCATGTGGGAGTTCGGCACGAAGATGAAGCCAAGTTCGGCTCGGCATCCACAGACGGACGGGCAAATGGCACATCAAACCGCTCAAATGATGCTTCGTACGCTCATCCGCCCGGACCAGAACGATTGGGTTGATCGCCTCCCCGACATCGAGTTCGCGTACAACACTTCGGTGCACCCGGCGATCGGCGTGACTCCATTCGAGTTGCACCACGGTGGACGGAAAGGCCGTATCTTCGCCGACCTTCTCCCTCCACGACCAGCCGACATCGACGTTGCTTGCTTTCCCGCTTCCGTCCGGAAGTACAGGGAATTGCTGGCTCAAGCCCGCGCGAATATGCAAAAGGCTCAAGTCCGCATGCAGCATCAAGCCAACAAGCGTCGCGTGCCATGTCCCATCCGCACTGGTGATCTGGTTTGGGTCTCCGCGGAAGAGTTTGCACTGGAACAGGATGTTTCACGCAAACTGCTTCCCAAGTGGTTTGGACCATGGCCCGTAACATCAGCCGCGGGCGATGAGCCCGATGGCCCTTCATTTGTGATCAACATCCCCTAGCATCTGATGGTCCATCCAGTCTTTCACGCCTCGAAGCTGGCAACATATACACCAGCTAAGAGCGACGACTTCCCGGGCCGGCGATCGCAGGACCCTCCTTCTATGGATGGTCATCAGGAAGTTGACCGCGTCATCACGAATCGCAAGTACGGCAGCAAGCCTCGACAGTACAAAGTTACGTTCAAAGCATGCGATCCCGACGACACTCGGTGGATTTCAGGAACAGATTTGAAAGCATCCGCACCGCTGATCTATGCTCACTACGAGCGACAAAGGTTAGCTTAGGGACCTTCACGACCTGACCCTCCCACCCGGACTGTGGTCCCTCCCTCAGACAAACAACGTCGCCCTCGCAGGTAAGCTCGGTCTTTCAAGGAGGGGGGGGGTGTGGCATACTGCGTAGCCACACGGGCCTGCAGGGCCCGTCCCGCATTCTCAGCCTAAAAGCCTAGAAATAAGGGCCTACAGGCCCCGTGTCCTTTCAGCCTGAAAGACTGAAAACGAGGGCCTGCAGGCCCTATGTCGTTTCAGCCTAAAACAGGGTTTTTCAGCCTGAAACGGAGGGCCACTTTCGGGCCCTCATAAGTTCGACCTGCCCTAACACTCAGGCACAAAACCAGAGTTTCGGGAATAGGCTATTTTTGGCCTGTTCCCACAACAGCCTCAAGCAGGAGCTGCAGCGGCAGCCCCGGACTCCCTTCGGCATTGGCAAGAGCAGCCTCCTGGACTGCCTCGCCCTGCAGTCAGGAGGCAGGCCGAGTAGTACATAGGGAGTTCCCATGCACTTCACGGGCATGTAGTTGGACAAAAGGCATGAGTAGTCTTCAGGATTCGGCCGCAGCACTCAGGAGGAGCGTTGCAGGAGTAGCTTAGCGCTAGCAGTAGTCTTCAACGCTGGGCGCTAGTAGCCATAGCAGTAGTCTTCAGCGCTGGGCACTAGTAGGTGGTAGTAGTAGAGTTGGGGAGAGATGGCTGGCGGAGGCCAGTGAGACTTACCTGTGGCACCATAGCTCCAGCTCCATCTTCGAGGTACCTGCATCAAGGCGCCAACTTCACAGGTTAGTACCGAACTGAGAGAGAGAGAGAGTTCTTCTTCTTCCTCTTCTAAGTCCACCATGTCTTATTCCCCTCTCACCACCTGACTTCTTAGTATCAGCGGACTACGACAGAGAGAGAGTTGTGACTTGAGACTTGACGACATTGGATCCAGACTCGACATTGCGATTCAGACATTTTGATGAGGGACTATTTGGGCCTGTGTCGAAGACTTGGTGTTGACGACATTCCCATCTTCCCCTGTTCTTCGTCTAACCCCCCTCTTCTTCGTCTGTGTATTTTGGGGCTGGCACATTCTTCCTGTGTGAGCGTCAGACCCCTTCACACCATGGAATGATGATGATGTATTATGTTCGGGGCTGCATTGCAATATTGATTGTTCGAATCATTGGTATCTAAGTCTTCCGCTACGCTATCTTGTACTTTGTATTGAGAGGTCGGTTATTGTTCTGGTCTGCACCGTTACAGTATGCAACTGGCATTATCGTGTGGATATAGAACGAGGCCCTGCCAGCCTGCTCAAAGCCCAAAAGGCTATGATTCAACTGGCTAACCGGCACCACGGTCCTTCTACTATTCGGACAAGTGACTGGGTTTGGGTGCTCAGTTCTGAGCTATAACGTGAGGAGGACAATTCGCCTAAGCTGTTGCCGTGGTACATGGGTCCATGGCAGATTTTAGATACAGTGGAGGCTGATCCTTTCGGACCGTGATACACTGTTGATGTCCCTCTGCATTTAAAAACCTATCTGGTCTTCCATGCATCCAAGTTGTTGCCTTTTACCTCAGCCGATGCATATCTGGACAGACCCCCTCCATTCGGTCCACCGATCCCTGGCAAGGGGTGTGAAGTGGAATCGATTGAGGATGAGATAGGCACAGGCCCAAACATGCAGTATCTTGTGAAGTTCCTGTACCAGCCCCACACAGAGGACCGCTGGTTTGCACGCAAGGAACTTCTCAAGACAGGAGGTCCTCGCTCTGGGGAGGGTAGGTCTGCAATGACTTGCTGATTCTGCGGCTTGTTGCTCGTTGCACCGAGGCTGTAACATAGGTAGGTTAGATTCACTAATTTGTTTGGATGAGGGCTAAACCGAGATACCTGCCTGTGGGGAAAATTCGTGAGGGATATATATGTAAATTCGGGAAAATTTCCTTCCCGCAATAACTTGAATTTCCTACAGCTACCCTAACTGCGAATAGCAGACTCAGGCTACCACTAGGACAGACGGGCCTACGGGCCTATGCTATTAGACTGGTCCTATAGCCTATAGACGGGTAGGGAGGGAGAGGCCCTAGAGCCTAGATGCCAAAACCGAAATGGTACCGGTCAGTCCAGTCAGTTCGGTTCAGGGGCTTTAGGCAGTTGGTACCGTGCACATCGTGGGATGCAATGCGTGAACTGGAGTGGTACAGCTTCAGCGTTGAAGGAGCGTGACATAGCCAGACCCTTGAAGCGTCGGCCATAGCTGGGACCTTCGCTGTTCTTTGACAGCACGGGGCCGTTCAGAGGTCTGGCTATTTGAGGTTTGTTGGGAGCAGGAGAAGTTGGTGCTCTGCTGAACCCTCCTCCAGAGTAGGGTATCAGGGTAGTGGCGCTGCAGCTATGGCTGCAGCTTGTATCATCAGAGGTCATCTTGGTCAGGAGAGGTGGTGCTGCTGAAAATCTTAATAAGAGAGGCCTTCTGGCACTTCATCATCATCAGAGTCTGTGGCGCTGGTCTTCTTCTTCATCCTCTGAGAGGCGCTTGGCCTCAGAGGCCTGTTTCATGGTGGCGCGCGTCCGTCTGGAGGCAATATCTGGGTGACAGTTGTTGTTTCAGGGACTCAGGGGTAGTGATAGCGGTTATTCAGGGTTGCGGGAAGAAGCGCTGCTCATTTCTAAGTAGCTCACCATGGTTCTGGGGCAATTCTGACAAAGCGATGCTCTGAGTTCATAAACAGTATTTCTATTGTGCGTGGACTATCTTTGCTTCATAGTTTCTTGGATGTGATCTTCTCGGCTTTCCTTTGTGACTGGTTGTGAGGATTCTGTGGAGCGAATTGCACTTTCAGTGTACTCTGTCATATTGCATGGTTAAGTCATCCACTCTGTTTCTCTCTCCCTGTGCGGTGTGACACTCCCAGCCTCTCCCCTTCCTTCTGTGTATGTATGGGCATACCTGGAAGCCTATGTGAGCGAGTGTTGGTCTTCGGACAACAAGCAACCAGGTTCATAATAGTTGGTATCAGAGCGATTGGATCCAGTCAGTGAAGTACTGATGAGTTGGAGCAACCACCATCATCTAGCGAGACACTGGAGTTGAATCTCACGGCGATTTGTCATCTTTTTTGTTGGCGACAGTGAGGGTGGTGGTGGCAAGTGCGTGGGGAGAAGTATTGGACAGAGGGGGATACAGTTCTGCTTAGGGTTGCACGAAAGTGAGTGGCGATTGATACTCAGAGGCCTGGGAGGCTCTGAGGAGGCTATTTATAGCCTGACGATTCATCTGGAATTGACGATTTGTAGGGAGGTGACCCCCATATGGTTGCGATTTTGGGATTGGGCCAGGATCCCCATTTCCCAAGCAGCACTGCACTGAGTTTCTCATTTATTTTCATATGGTAGTCGAGACTCACCGAATCTGTTAGTTGGGGGTGAAGCGAAACTGTGAGATCTACATGATCACCAACTTTCAGAGAATTTTGTACGTGGGAATACTGGGAATAGGCAGAAGAAGAAACTGGCGAGATGGGTCTCAAGAGACAGCCATAGCCAAAGTTTCATCCTTCCCCTTCAGTGAAGTCCCTGAAGTAAGTGTGTTCCTTGCTCTACTCTGTGTGGCGATTCCAAGGCTATTTTTAGATTAGCGAAATTGTGTCTGTTAGTCTGTAGACAGTAGAAAATCAAAATTCTGACTGTGAGACATCATAGCCAATTTCTCCTACCTATCTTCTTTGACTCCTAACCCTGTTTGACCCTCTGTTAGACTCAATTTTCATTTGTGACTGCTTTTACAGAGTTGCGATTCATACTGTACTATGACTTGGATTATTCAGGGTCATACCGCGATAATAATGGAAATTTGAATCCGCACTGCCATAGCTGAAGCTTGGCCAGGCTAGGGTTTGTCACAACTTTGGTTCTGTCCGTCGTAATTTAGTTATGTTAGTCCCTGGTAAATCGCAATTGAGTGGTTGGTGAGTGTCTGAAATCGCACTATCTAATTTGGTGTATTCACTCAGTTACAGTGAAATTTGTACTTCACCATACCTTGAGTATGGCTTACAGGGTCATCCAGTGGTAGAGCTAGTAGGTTAAGTCTAAAAATAGAACACAGTCAATCGCTGGATCTTGGTTATGTGTAGATACATGTCAGTGACTAATTGACACTTTGTCTAATTACTATCTACTACTAATTAGTCCAACACTGCCTCCTAGAAGTTATTAATGCAGGATTTGAAGTCATTGCAGTCAATTGATGTATCAGAGCAATGAATGGAAAATTGTGAAATTGATTTTTGTTGCGTTCACTCTAAACTGACCCCAGACCCTCAAGTGGTCTGCAGAGACTGAGCGCTTGCCTACTTGTATTAATCAACTTCTTTCTCTTTAAGTGACAACAATTGGGTGAGTAGTGAAGAGAAAACCCAATTCATGTTGACTTCCCTTTTTGTTTCCTATTTTGTTTATTTATCTATTTTGTGGGCTTTTCCAAAATGTTTGGCACTGAGAAGGGAGAAGTTTTTGAGGTGAAGCCTCAACTTCTTCTCTCCCCTTTGGAGAATGACCTGCTTGCTGAGGAGGAAAAACTCTGAAAACAAGCAGCAACAGTTGAGGCTTTGAAGGAAGAGATGAAGCGCAGAGAGAAGGCAGACCAATAAGAGATTAGAAGAAAACAACTAGTGACAAACATTGAGAAGATCAAGGTGAGTGGATCTTCCAGTCAGTAGAGTAAGGATATGGCAGAGTTCATCCTCCTACAGGATGATATCCATCGGTCCTACTTTAC